TGATAAGTCCATAATCACTTACCAAAGGCATATCGGTCCTCCTCAGGTTCAATACAAATATGTCAGTCCATACTGTGAATATTTCAGTTCTAGTTGAATACTAATGAGTAAAAGCACCCCCTTTCCCTTTGAACTGGGGACTACCTCATTTTGTGGTTGAAAGAGATGCCAGAATCTTCTTCTGCAGTCAGTTAGGGAGAGTAAGCTCCCTCGGCTTGTGGGTTGTATAGTTGTGGTTTTTAGTTGCATGAATGTCTTCACCAGGGCCCCTCAGAGTTATTTGAAGATAGTGAGTGATTTAAAGGCTTAGCCCTCGTTCACACCTGACCGTTTTGTAGCGCGTTCTACGCTCGACGAACGCTCTACAAAACGGTCAAAAATATAAATTGCATTGTAGCCAATGGCCTCGTTCCCACCTTGCCGTATTTCCGCCCGTCCCTAACGCCCTACAAAACGGCCCACGCCTGAAAAGGTACAGGTACTACTTTGGGCCGTTTTGTAGGGCGTTTTCCATTGGGATACAGCCAAGTAGCCTTCGGAATCGCGGTTAAAAAAACGCGCGACGGTCGCGCATATTACAATACGCCTAGGTGTGAATGGGGCCCAAGTTTACCTTTTTCAAAAATTACTATGAAGTAAAGGGGACCTTAGTAGTGTAAAAGCATAATCCAAAAAATAAACAAATACAGCTTAGTTTAGATTATATACTTGCAGGTCAATCTCTGCTTCCACGGTGGTGGTGCTCAGCTCCCACTGTGACCAGGGGAGGTCGAGTGCACAGTTTGCAAATGCACATACAAAGCCCGTCTCGATAGCAGGGCGCTCATTCCTATTAGGATTTGAGAGCATGCACCGGTTTGTGAGCAGAGCACTTGTTAATGCTGAGTGTATGCTCATCAGTCAAGTCCTCCTGGCTTCTATGTAAGGACGTGATGGAACTGTCCTTTATGGAATTTTTTTTGGCTAGGGTAGAAGGTAGCAAAGATTGACCTACAGGTATGTCATCGAAACTAAGCTGCATTTGTGTAAGCTGGACTACGCTTTTAGACTATTATGTAGCCTTAACTGCGTAGCATTTCTTTTGTATGCAAACTTAAATCACCCACCATCTTTAAATATCTCTGAGGACCTCTAGTAAAGATCTCTCTGCAACTAAAAACCACAACTATAATCGCATGCCGAGCCAGTACAAGGGAGCTCACTCTCCCTGACCACAGCAGAAGATTCAAGCTCTTCTTTCTACCTCAAGGTGAGCTTAGCCTTTAACACGTTAGCATCGAACCAGAACCCTGAAAAGGAAAAACTGTTTTGGATGTATCGACTCTTAGTCACCGGCTCTCTGGTGGGCGATTTAACTTGCTGGCATCCAACCAGAATTGAAAAGAACTGTTTTGGGTTAAAAACCTGGTTTTCGGGTGTAAAGGATCTGCTGTGAGAGTTGTATTCCAATACTATGCCTTTTGAGGTTAGTGTGCCGAAGATTAATTGGATGATTATAGGAGCTGAGGCCTTCAGAGAGGTTAGCAAAAAATTGCTAAACATAAACGTGGCCTTTACGGTAAAGCAACGAGTTTACTTTAATGTAGGCCTTCCCAGTAGCACATTCGTATCTTTCTTTCCTCCCCGGGTGTCTCCAATCAGCTGCTGGGGGTGAGGGAAGGCTACAAGTCTCAGGGCTCATAGCTTACAACAGGGGTGGACAAATTATTTTGGAATAGGTAGGAGCCAGCTTTAATTTTTAAGGAGCATTGGCTACCTGGCTCCTGGGATTTTTCTAGCCCTGGCTTATGCAAGCCTTTGGACTCCTCGTTTGAAAGTGCTGATTGGCCCAGTGCTGTCAAATTGAGCAAATCACATTCTTCTTTATACCCAGAAGTACCAGATATTTCCTTTTGACTCTTGTCACTGAAAGGAGTAGCTGGGAAATTAAGGAGGTGTTGGGAAGGTGTGAGCAAGAGTGATTAAATCAGACCTGTTGCTTTGCCCTGAATTCATTTAAGGTTGGCAAATGATCATTACTTGCTGTTAAACTAGTTTTTCCAGTGCTTATGG